CTCAATTCTTCGGCCACCTTCTGCTGCCTTCCCAGGCACATAAGCAAGGAGCTGGATTGGAACTAAAGCAGCCAGGAATGGAACCCCAGTTAGTGCTGCAGTTGTAAGCTGTGGCTTAGCTCTCTATGACACAGCACCCAACTCCCTCTGTGCCACCAATGTGGGTGACCTTAATTAAACCCCTGGCTCTGGGCTTCAGCTGGGCCCAGCACTATCTGTTTCAGAAATCAGGGTAGAGAAATAGAAGGTGGGAGATATCTGTCTGAATGTATGTATTCCTCTGTCTGTCTGCCTTTTTTTATTGTTATTCATGATGCATTTGTTTCATATGAAGGGCAGGGTGATAGAGAGCAAGCCACAGAAAGAGAAAAATATCTTACATTCACTGGTTCACTCTTTAGTCACAATGGCTGGGACTGAGCCAGGAACTCCATCCGAGTCTCCCATGTGGATGGCAAGGCCCAAGTACTCAGACCATCTTCTACTGCATTCTCAGTCACATTAGCAGACAGCTGCATCAGAAGTGGAGCAACTGGAATTCAAACTAGCACTCTTATGGAATGCTGGCATAGCAGACAGTAGCTTAACCCATTGTACCACAATGCTGGCTCCTATCAGCAGAAAGTTATGATCTGTGTTGAAGTAACTCTCAGAGTATTTTACATGAACGAATTTATGGCAATCACTTTCATATCATTAAGCTAAAAATACATATGTAATACATATTAATACCTGGCACAAATTTGGAAGAAATATAAATAATATAATGATGCTCTGGGACTCCCATGTAGTTAGCATGGGAGTGCTGTTCACAGAAAACACAGAAGGGGAACCTGCGAGGGAAGAATGCATCATGGTACACCTAAAGCTATGGCAGATGTATGTCATGCATACATCATGTCATACATAGATTGTCAATGTGGGCAGAGTATTCTGCTTCCCACTGTTACCCCAATGGGTCAATTTGTCTATGCAGTGGTTTCTCCACATGCCATACTGATCATGGTAAGCCAAAGAATAATGCAAGTGTATTCAAGAGTCCTTTGTTAAGATTTATACATTTGAAAGTTAGAGTTACAGAGAGAAAGAGAAGATGAGAGAGAGAGAGAGAGAGAGAGGGAGGGAGAGAGGGGGGAGAGAGGGGGAGAGAGGGGGAGAGAGGGAGAGAGAGGGGGAGAGAGGGGGAGAGAGGGGGGGGAGGGAGAGAGAGAGAGAGAGACAGAGAGAGAGAGAGAGAAAGCTTCCATTCACTGGTTCACTCCCACATGGCTGCAATGACCAGGGCTGGGCCAGACTGATATCAGAAGCCAGGAGCTCCTTCCAGGCCTCCCATGCAGGGGTCAAAACACTTGGGTCATCCTCCGCTGCTTTCCCAGGAACATCAGCAGGGAGCTGGATAGGAAGTGGAGCAGCCGGCACTCAAACCAGCACCCTTATGGGATGCTGGTACTGCTGGTGGCAGCTTAACCTACTATACCAAAGTGCCAGCCCCACAAAAAGCCCCTTTCTTACCTATACTTTAAAAAAAAATTTTTTTAAATTTTTGATGTTTAAGACTTTTAATTAGTTTTTTTTTGACAGGCAGAGTGGATAGTAAGAGAGAGAGAGAGAGAGAGAGAGAGAGAGAGAGAAAGGTCTTCCTTTTTGCCGTTGGTTCACCCTCCAATGGCCACCACGGCTGGCACGCTGTGGCCAGCGCACCGTGCTGATCCAATGGCAGGAGCCAGGTGCTTCTCCTGGTCTCCCATGGGGTGCAAGGCCCAAGCACTTGGGCCATCCTCCACTGCCTTCCCGGGCCACAGCAGAGAGCTGGCCTGGAAGAGGGGCAACCGGGACAGAATCTGGCGCCCCGACTGGGACTAGAACCCGGTGTACCGGCGCTGCTAGGTGGAGGATTAGCCTATTGAGCCGCGGTGCCGGCCTTAATTAGTTTTCAACAGTTTCAATATAGTTCATATGTACAATTCTAAGAATATAATGCTACTCTGTCCCTTCCTCATCCTACTCCTACTCTAAATCAACAAGTGTAGTGCCATTTATCACTCATTGACCATTTATCACTCATGCAATACTGAATAAAATATGATTTTGAATAATTTGTGGGTTTGTTAAAAACTGTACATGAGTATTTGGTGCTGACAATTGAGATAACTTGTTGGAAAATTCTTCAGGAGAGTGATTAGTATTCAATTTTAGAGGAATATGAAAATACTTCCTTATATCTGCCTCTTCGTATGTATATTTTAACCAAAAATCAATGTGAAGCCCCCAAGTTCCAGTCACACAACCTTTTCCATATATCATTTTTATTCAAACCCTTAAAAGTGAATCTTATCTGTTCGTTAACTTCAGATTTTAAAAAGACACATGCATTTTATCAGGCATAGTGCTTTTTTTCTGGTGATGAATACATGGAATGGAAAAGAAAAGTGCTTAAAATCAGCAAGGCATTTACTCTTCAGTGATCCTTTGTACCTTAGTGAAAACAGATTAGGGGAGAAGAGAGCCAAGCAGGAGGAAAGATAAGTCGCATCATGAAAACCAAATAATGGGTTGTTAAGAACCATGTTTACCCATCTTCTTTGCCATAAAGTAGCTCCTCCCAGCATGCCCCAGATTGACTCTAAAGTCACTGGAAGAATGATCATTGCTGTCCTAGAACTACACCCAATATCCTGCAAATTTTTTTGGTCAAAACTGGACCTTGCTTCTTCCAATAACCATTCCTCATAGTTTGTTTCACAAAATGCTCTATCTAAAAAATTAGCTAAAAATCAATGCTCACACATCTGAGTCAATTCAGATCTCAACACAAGGATGAGAATCTTAGGTTTATTTCAACTATTGTTTTAGGAGGCGTTGCAAAAATTATTTTGCTTTTCTTCTGCCTCTCATGACACCGCTTCTTTCTTCACTGATCTGGTGGCAGGTCTTCTTGTAGACGGCCAGCTTGAATGGCATTAGGATTGAGGGTCATTTGGTTAAAGCCTTGTACCAGCATTTTCCAAAAGGCTGGATCCTTCCCGTTAGTATTACTAGCAGTTTCCTCCCTGTCAATCTGATAGTAATGACATTTGCATCTACTCTGATCTTTATTGTGTGAGTATAAGGTTTTTCCTTCCCTTTCAACTCGATAAGGTGCCATGTGATTGAGGGTTTTTTGTCTTATATGCTCCATGAATGATCTTTTTCTCTGAGGGAGCACTGATCTTTCCCACTTCCTCTGCCTATCTTTTTGAGTTATCTCATCTCTGTATTGCAGCTGGACCAGATCCTCAGGGAGAGGAGTGAGGTAGCTGCTACCAGGATCCGGGTTGAAGTTAATGAGGTCCAGCTTTTGTATTTCAGAGAAAGATATTTGGTAGGTTGATGTAACTTCCTGGGGTATTTCTTTAGTTGCAGTCAGGCATGAATCAGAACTCAAACTAGGGGTAACTGTCTTTTTTGGCTCCATGGAGGTGTAGTCCCCACTTGAAATTCCTTTTGGATCTTCAGGCTATGACATTAAATTGAAGCTTGAAACTATCAAGTTACTTAAATTTAGTGAGTAAAGTACTGTATTCAAATGTTTCCAAACTGCAAAAAATAGTAGGGAGCAAAGAAAGGGAGCATCATGAAACCAATTTTTAGTTTCTTCTATATACAGGAAAATGTCTCTCTTACCCCAATGAAAATTAAGCCAGTAACAGTGAAGCATGTCAATGATTAAAAAATACAGTGAATGACATACTAAAGTGACTTCCTTATCCCAGGTTCTGTTTCTGTCTTTCAAACATGGAAGCCACATGCCTACTAGTTTGCCAATTATTATGCTATGTTTTAGGAAATTTGCATCATAAGCCACAATGAGCACACCCAGAACATGGAATTTGATTTTCCTATATCATTGTCTAGTAGAAGAAACCAGGACTTTGGGGATAAAGTGAATCATTATGTAAATCTAAGTAACCAGTACTCTTACATATAATGTGGTATCCTAGAAAACCTGAGGAATTGTTACAGGTGAGTAAGGACACAAATAGCTCTTCAATACTGATGTCAAGATTTGAAGAGGTGTTCTTCCCATCAGAGTTATTAGAAAATATAGACACACATTCACTCATGATATAATCAACGTTGCCCTCAGGCTCTGGTAGGTCCTCACCTCCAAGGACACTGCCTGGCACACCAATGGCTGTCAATAAATGTTCATATCTGAAATGGATAAAGTGCCTGACACAAATGAGCTACTCGGTGAATTACAGCCTTTTTGTTAATTAGGCTTCTTTAGTTGAGGAGATAGTGAGGGAAGAGCACAAATTACAGACCCACACAGGAAGCAAATTGCTTGGATTTGGTCACCTCCCTCTCCTTGCCCAAGCCAGAACCCTGGCCATCCTGGACTGAGTAAGCTTCTCTCATTTGCCCAGAGTTGGCACCATCCTTATTGTCAGATCATCCATACCTTGTATGGAGGTCAGGCCAGAGACAGAAAGTTGTAGCTAGATTCCTTGACAGCTTACTGTAAGGAAAACTTATCAAACCTCAAGTTTACTTTTCACATGCTTCAAATTCTGAACAACCCATATTCAGTTGGAAGGCATTAAAAACAGATCTATTACCCTGCGAACAATGAATGCTTTCATCACAACCTGATCTTTCCTTCCACTAAAGAACACTCAAGAATAACAGCATTGATTATTATTTCTAATCATTTTGTGTTGATCACATCTGACCATACTAAGAAGCATCAGGCACAGTTAACTAAGGAGAAAATTGAAGCTCAGTAAAGGAAAATAACTGGGCCAAGGTTATTAAATTGTTTTGTTTTTACTTTCCATTTAAAATACAATAACTTTAAAAGTTGAGCACAGGACATCTGGAAAAGGAGAGCAATAAAGAACAAAATCTTACAATATTAATCTCCCATTAAAATCTACGTGAAATAAATACAAAGTAACTTGCTATTTGAAAAGACATATCATAGTTCTTCAAGAAGAATATAGTAAAACTTTACTTACCACTCTAAAAGATAAATTAAATAGGGGACTTCCAACGTAGCTTGATGGTAAGTCTAGTTGTTGGCTGCAGTGTTGAAAAGGTATGACTGTCACCATGGCCCTCTGCAGCTTTGAATACCCTAGGAACCACTGACATCACAGATTACACCACAATTACAAGCCTGATGACACGGCATATCATGAGTGCCTACTTGTGGAGCAACTCAACAGGACTAAAACAGAGTATGTCTCTTTAACCCTAATGTTTCTTCTTGGCCTTAGTGTGTAGTCAAGGAGTTATTGGAATATTCTGTCCCCAAACGCTATTGGCAGAGTCCAGGCACATGACTACATCAAATGAACCATAAATTGGTATCTTTCACCAATCACCACTCCTGAGGGACTGTTAGCTTTTGTGGGTCACAGATCTTCTATCAGTTAGTTCCCAGACATCCCTCATTAAGTGTCAGTTTCAGGGTTGCTACTTTTTAAATCATTTATTTCTTAATTTGAAAGCCATAGTGACAGAGAGATCTTTCATCCATTGGGCCAGGATGCAGGAAGTCCATCCAGGTCTCCCATGTGGGTGGCAGGAATTCAGGTACTTGAGCCATCTCCCCCTTCAGGGAGATGGACAGGAAGTAGATTAGCTGGGACTCAACTGGAACTCTGATAATGGGATACAGGCATCCCAAGCAGTGTCCTAAACCCCCTGCCCCACAGTGCCTGCCCCCTAGAGTTACTACTTTCTCTTCACTTAATTGAACTGCGACTTGACAAATTTGTTTAAAAAGAAATACCTTAGAAGAAAACAAAGCAAACAAAACCTGACCAAAATTAAGTATAGCAAAAACAAAATTATACTATGATATTTTTAAAAGTAATGCCAGATGATTAGAACTGCTATGATCGGAATGTCTGTGACTCTTTCCCCAGATCCTTATGTTGAAATCATAACCACCAGAAGATTTCAATGAGAGGAGGGAACTGTGGGTAGGTGGCTAGATCCACATTTTATAAGGGATTAGTTCCATTATAAAATAAGCTTAAAGAAGTATTCTCCCTTTCCACCATGTGAGGGCACAATGAGAAAGTGCCACATGAGGACCATATGTGATCTCATTTAATCCACACAAACACCAAGAAAGTGTGTTCTATTGAATTCATAAAAATACACTTGTAGTAAATATTGAAACTAACCCCATTTTATAGATGGGGAAACTGAGGCTTATAACAGGGTAAGCCACAAACAGAACATCTTAACGGCAGAACCTGTAAAATACAAAACTGACATTCAGTTTGTGGGAAATCAACCTCTTATCCTCTCAGATCCTTCTCTATAAAATAGGAAATGCATATCTACATGCCTGGAATGTTTTGGAGGTTTACTGGGATAGCACATGTTGAAATCCCTACACAGTGTTTACACCAAGTGATTTCAATGAATGTTTAGACTTACAGTGATTATGAGGATTAGGAATGCTGTGTACCCAGAATGTACTATGAAACAGAAGATCAAGATGATAGCTAACTCCAACAATGAACAGCCAAACTGTACTTAATTACAAGAGCAATGAAAACCATTTCATATTGTTATACATTAAATATTGCAATGAGGAACCAGCAGCAAGGAAATACATATGTTGAAAAATTAACATTTGGGCACTGAGATATAATAACTAACAGTATAGAAGAATTTGAACAGTGTTCCTTAACTTGACTTTAAAAAAGCTAAGATGTATCTCAGCTTTCATAACTTTTTTTTAACATTTTATTTATTTGAAAGGCAGAGAGATGCAGACAGAGAGACACAGACAGAAACAGACCCATTCACTGGTTCACTCCCCCGAACAAGCTCAATGGCCAGGGCTGGATCAGGCTGAAGTCAGGAGCCAGGGATTTCATCTGGGTCTTTCACATAGGGAGGTGGTGCAGGACTTAACTACTTGAGCTATCACTTATTGTCTCCCAGATTGTTTTTAGAATGGCAGTCTCAGTAGGGACATCTTGCATGGAAAAAAGGCCTTAAAAAGTTTGAAGTGATAGAAACTTGAACCTGTGCCTCCTGTCTCTTTAAGTAGGGCTCAATGCTAAAAGAAATGTAATCCACAAACAGGTAACTTGGGAAATCCTAGCCCTATATTACTGAGTGCCTAGTAGAGATTTCAGTTACAGAGAATAGAGAAAGAGGCTTTATATATTTTATGAAGCTAGTGCATCTTCTGTAATGAAGTCCAACAGCGAGAATATGAGGGTACTTCAAAGCATATGTGAAAAATTTTGGATTTTATTTTGATGCAAAAAAAATTTGAAACTCACTCATAGTTTTTCATAATATGCGTTTCCATGAACTTTTTAGAAAAAAGTCCTGTGTGCTTCCATCTCTTATGGCTATGTCCCTGGCTGTCAATAAAATATTTCCTTGCCAAAAAATGTCACTTAGGAGGATACACGTAAAAATCTGAAAAAAAAATGAATATATAGATTATCCCAAAAGGATAGTATTAGGGAACTTCAACATATTCATGGGAAAATGGCATTAAAAATGGTCGTTGGGGTACAAAAAAGCTTTTCAAGTCCATGCAGACTTTTTTCACAAAGCATATTTTCCATTAAGTTCTTGAACACCCTCTCATGTATCATAACTAAATATTTTCCCTAGATTGGTTTAAACATGGCAACTTATCAATGCAATTTACCACATTAACAAATTGATGAAGTGGGGAAATCATATGGTCATCTAAATAGATGTTCTGTAAGTGTTTGATGAATATCAAAACATAGCGGCTGGCACTGTGGCGTAGTGGGTAAGGCTGCTGCCTGCAGCCCGCCATCCCATATGGGTGTCGGTTCAGTCCCAGCTGCTCCACTTCCAATCCAGCTCTCTGCTATGGCCTGGGAAAACAGAGAAGAGGCTCCAAGTCCTTTGGCCCCTGCACCTGTGTGGGAGACCTAAAAGAAGCTCCTGGCTCCTGGCTTCAGATAGGTGCAGCTCCACCCATTGCGGCCAATTGGGGAGTGAACCAGATGAAGACCTCTCTCTCTCTCTCTGCCTCAACTTCTCTCTTTGTGTAACTCTGACTTTCAAATAAATAAATAAATCAGTTTTTAAAAAAGAAAGTCAACATATATTCAAGAGAAATATTCTTAGCCAACTAGTAATAAAACGGGAATTCCTTATTCTGATAAAGTGTGTGTGTGTATATAGATAGATAGATAGATAGATACACACACACACCACAGTCAACACTGTGAGATGTTGACTTTTCCATGTCCTAGCAAGCACAAGACAAGGATGTATGGGACCGACGCTGTGGTGTAGCAGGTAAAACTACTGCCTGCAATGCCAGCATCCCGTATAGGGGTCAGTTCGAGTCCCAGCTATTCCATTTCTGATCCTGATCTCTGCTATGGCCTGGGAAAGCAGTAGAAGATGGCCCAAATCTTTGGGCCCCTGTACCCACATGGGAGACCTGGAGGAAGCTCCTGGCTCCTGGCTTCGGATCTGCACAGCTCTGGTCGTTTCAGCCAATAGGGGAGTGAACCAGCGGATGGAAGAGCACCTCCCCCTGTCTCTCCTTATCTCTCTGTGTAACTCTGATTTTCAAATAAATAAATAAATCTTTAAAAAATACCAGGACATCCACTATGATCATTTTTAATTCAACACTGCATTAGGTGTACCTATTCCAATGATGTAAAATAGGAAAAGGGAAAATGAGTAACATGTAAAATGGCAGAAACAAGATGTTAGTATGCAAAGATGATACGTTTGTGTATGTTGGAAATCAAGAAGGATGTAAATTTGGAATGAGCATATTTATCAGTGATGCAAAATAAATAATCAATATACAACCTTACATCTGTATAGGCAAGTTCATTCAAAATATGAAATTTAAAAAATAGTTTTTGATGGTACCAAATACTTACGAATAAATTTAACAAATTGTTTTTTAATTCTTTAAAATATTTTATTTATTTTAAAGGTAGAGTTACAGACAGTGAGAAGGACAGATAGAAAGATCTTCAATCCACTAGTTCACTCCTCAGGTGGCCACAACGGCTGGAGCTGTGCCGATCCAAAACCAGGAGCTTCTTCCGGGTCTCCCACGTGGGTGCAGGGGCCTAAGTACCTGGGCCATCTTCCACTGCTTTCCCAGGCCATAGCAGAAAGCTGGATGCTGGCACTGCAGGCGGTAGCTTTACTTGCTGGTCCCAGGAGATTTTTCAATCTGTATTCATCAAGGATATTGGCCTATAGCTTCCCTTTCTTGTTATGCCCTTGTCTAGTTTTGGTACCATGACAATGTTGGCCTCATAGAATGAATTTGGATGAATTACCTCCTCTTTTAATTTTTGCAATAATTTAGGAAGGGTTGCTGTTAATTCTTTAAATGTTTTAGTATAGTTCAGCAGTGAGGCTATCTGTTCCTGCACTTTTCTTTCACGGGAGAATTTTAAATTATGGATTCAGTCTCACTACAGAATATTATTCTGTATAGGAATTTTGTCTGGGTAAAGTGTGTGTGTCTGGAAATTTGTCCATTTATTCAAGGTTATCAAATGCATTGCCATGTAGTTGTTCATTGTAATCTACAAAAATCCTCTGTATTTCTGCACTGTCCCTGACAATGTCTCCACTTTCATCTTTAATTCCATGAATCTAAAATTTTTCACTTATTTTCTTGATTAGTCTAGCTAAGGGTTTATGAATTGTGTTTATCTTTTCAAAGAGCCAGCTCTTGTTTCATTGATTTTTGGTACTCTTTAAAGTCTCCATGTCATTTATTTATACTCTCAATTCTATTTTTTTTTTCTTCCACCAATTTCCAGAGATCTGGATCAGAAGTAGAGCTGCCAGGACTCAAACCGGCATCCATATGGGATGTGGGCACTGCAGGTGGAGGATTAACCTTTTATGCCATAGTGCCAGCCCCATGTTTTTAAAATTTTTTTAGGATTTTATTTATTTAAAAGGCAGAATTTAAGAGAGAGGAGGGGAGAGAGCGAGCGAGTGAGAAAAGAGATGTCTTCCATCCTCTGTTTCACTCCTCAAATGGCTGCAACAGCCGAGGCTGGGCCAGGCCAAAGCCAGGAGGAGCCTGGAGCTTTTTCTGGGTCTCCCATGTGGGTGTAAGAGCCCAAGAACTTGGGTCATCTTCCACTTCTTTCCCAGGCACATTAATACAGAGTTGGATTGCAAGAGGAGCAGCTGGGATTCAAACCTGCGCCCATATGGGATGCCAGCACTGTAGGTGGAGGCCCAATCTTCT